ATGTTCTAAGAGAAAGGAGAGCAGTAAAACAATGTTATCAAATGTGATAGCAATTAAAGTTTCACTGCAGGCTGCACTTTTCATGTGTATGTTGGAAGTGAATGAGAAGAAAGAGATTCTTAGAAATCACACTCTTCAGTGAATTACAGTAAATTTTCAGTTCAGCAGCTCAAAAGTAAATACCATCAGAATATTCTCTCGAATTTACATTGACTATAATCATCTCAGAATAATTTTAGTATATGTATATTTTCAAGATACCTACCCTATAAAATATACCTTTAAAATAATTTTATCTACTGCTTCTTGTTTAAATAAATGCCAATTTCATAAGTATAACAACTTTGTACTTTATGGTACTTTGTATCATAAATTAACCAGTGATTAACTTTTAATTTTCCTCTTAATAATAGCTCTCCCTTCGTTTAATAAAGTTGGTTTTTAAAACATCATCCATACTCATATTCCTTTTACCTAATATTCCAACTTGTCAAGAATTTCAGCATTCTCATTTCAGAAAAGAACAAGTGTTTAGGGAAAAGTAGTGTGTGGTCCTTAATAACAGGAGTTACATAACAATTAACATCCAGTTACCAGATACAATAAGAGTACAAAGACTAGAACTCTAGAACATAAAAACAGGGAGAATGTAAACAAACAAACAACAACAAAAAGTAAAAATTCCAGGCAGGTTTAACTGAGGAGAACAGAAGTGTAGAAGTTAACTGTTCTTTTACGACAAGGCACACCACTTCACTTGGAGACTGCATTGTTTCTGTCCAGGTTGATAGTGGTTGTGCACTCCCTCACATGTACATCGTTTAGCATATGTGAGAAACAGGGACTAATTCCACACAATGCTATAGGGGACACAGGCAATACAGAGAAAGAGGTTTACTTAAATCTACTCACAGAATGAAAATAACCTTTACATTTTATGCTGCTCTTTTCCCCTGAGTGTCCACTTATTAATGAAAATGCTTCTTTATCTCTGCAAGTTATAAGAGTCCATTCAAAATTTCAGAAGAGCAACACACAAAATTACAAAACCTCTATGTATTCAAAACTATATCGCAAATGAGTTAGATCTCACATCTGTATAGACTTCCTGAATAATATGAATTAAAAACATGACTCTTTGACTAGAAGCATTACTCGTTTATTCCTACTGCCTAAAAATATAACCAGTAGACATATTTTGAAGACATCCAAAATTGCTGGGAAGACTTAAGCATCCCAGAGTCAAGCATTGACAAAGTCATGACGCTTAAAGCATCCAACATATAGTCAAATAGTATCCTTCCAACCTATAAGCCTATGAGGCAGCCAGCAGGCTGAGGCAGGTGGAGGCAGATCTCAGGGTGCACTGGGTCTTTTGCTGACCTGATCCAGAGCCTGGTGCTGGTAAAAACTGGACTTAGTGCACAGTTTTGTCCTTCCCATACACATCCAGGGCCAGCAGAGGCAGCCACAAACTGTGGATTGCTTTGTCACTCCAAACAGGTTGCCCAGGGTCAGTCATAGGCAGCATCAAACATTAGCCTGCACCTGAGTCCCTCCAAAGATGCACCAGAACCCACACACCAAGTGGGCAGCTTCAGATAACATCAGAACAGGATCCAATTAGCTTCACAAGTGCATATCCAAAGGGAGACACCTGCGGCAAATTAAGCTTCATGTGGTCAGCACCTGCACAGCAGCCTGTACTCTGTGGTAGGGGTTAATCCTCAGTCAGCCAGCCTGAGGGTCAATCCTAGACACAAATGGGCCAATAGAAATCAAGACTCAAGTACAAAAGGCGGGACCATGTAAACCACACAAGGGACATTCCTAAAGCAACCAGATCAGGTAATCAGGAGACTGCACCACTGGACCCCACAGGACACCTACGATATAAGGCCATCCTACCAAGACTGGCAGTCATAGGAGATCTAGCTAGTACATAGAAACAAACACAGAAAGGCAGGCAAAATAAGGAGACAAAGAATAGACCCCAAATTAAAGAACAGGATAAATCTCCAGAAAAAGAGCTAAATGAAATGGAGGCAAGCAATTTATCAGATACTAGAATCCTGGTGCACGGATTCGTGCACCAGTGGGGTCCCTTGGACCAGTGCACAATGGGGGCTGGGGAGGGACCACAGGAGGGCTCCAGGGTGTGTCTGGCCTGTCTCACCCAGTCCCGATCAGCTGGACCCCAGCAGCAAGCTAACCTACCAGTCAGAGCATCTGCCCGCTGGTGGTCAGTGTGCATCATAGCGACTGGTCAAATGGTCGAGCACTTAGCATATTATTATCTATACTAGTGTCCCAATGCACAAATTTGTGCACAGGTGGGGTCCCTTGGCCTGGCCGGTGATCGGGGCTGATCAGGGCCATCTCACCCAGTCCCGATTGGGGCCGATGGGGGCTGGCTGGCTGGGGAGGGACTGCGGGAGAGCTCCAGGGCGTGTCCGGCCCATCTCTCCCAGTCCCCATCAGCTGGACCCCAGCAGCAAGCTAACCTACCGGTCAGAGCATCTGCCCCCTGGTGGTCAGTGCACGTCATAGCGACTGCTCAAGCCAGACACTTAGCATTTAGGCTTTTATATAAAGAGATATATAAAAGCCTTAGCAACCAAATGACTGAACGACCGAACGACCAGTTGACCAATCACTATGACACACACTGACCACCAAGGGGCAGACGCTCAACGCAGGAGCTGTCCCCTGGTGGTCAGTGCGCTCCCACAGCGAGAGTGCCGCTCAACGGACCAACAGGCGCCAGACACAGGACTCACAACTAGCGAACACCGCTGCGGCAGTGTGAGCCTCTTCTGATCAGGACTGACTCTGCGCAAGCCTGCAGCAGGCGCAGCGGGGCCGGGATGAGCAGGAACAGCAGGTAGGAGCAGCAGGTGGCGTTGGACTGCCGGTTTCAGCCCAATCCCCACAGGCCATGCCAAGGGAAGCCACCGGTGCACGAATCCGTGCACCAGGCTCTAGTATAGGATAAAGTTCAAAGTAATGGTTATAATGATACTCAACATCATGGAGAAGGACACAGAAACCATGAAAAACTATAACACTAATTCAAAAGAATCAATGCATCCCTATGTTCATTGCAGTGTTATTTACAACAGCCAAGATATGGAAGCAGCCCAAGTATCCATCAATGGATGAGTGGATAAAAAAGCTGTGGTACATTTACACAATGGAATACTACTTGGTTAAAAAAAAAAAAAAAGAAATCTTTCCCTTGGCAGCAGCATTGATGGACCTGGAGAGCATTATGCTAAGTGAAATAACCCAGTCAGAGAAGGACAAGTACCATATGATTTCACTCATATGTGGAATCTAAGTAACAAAATAAACTGAAGAACAGAGTGGATCCAGAGATTCTGAGCATGAAACAGAGTGTGGAATCTCAGAGGGAAGGCTGGGGAGGATGGGTAGGTGGGAAGTAATCAACCAAAAATCTTGTATGCATATATGCATAACCCATGGGCACAGACAATAGGGTGCTGAAGACCTGGGGTGGGGGGGAATGCTAGGGGTGGGCTGTAGAAGGTCAATAGAGGGAAAATGTGGACATATGTAATACTTTCAACAGTAAAGAATAATTTAAAAAATAAAATAAACGAAGTAGAAACAGACTCACATACCAAAAACAGATTGTCAGCTGCCAGAGAGGAGAGGGGGTTTAGTAGGTTGGGGTGAAAAAAAACTTTGAAAACCTTAAGCCAAAAAAAACCTCATAGACACAGACAACAGAATGGTAATTACCAGAGGAAAGGGAGGCAGAGGTGGAGGGATAAAGGAGAAACAAATGGTGAAGGAAAAAGACTTGACTTGGGATGGTGAACACACAATACAATATACAGATGATGTATTATAGAACTGCACACCTAAAAGCTATATAATTTTATTAACCAATGTCACCCCAATAAATCAAATAAAAAATTATTTAAAAGACCCAATTCAATCTTATTAATCCTTGTTTAATTTTAATTGAATTGTGTTTAAATGTTCAATCCAGAGAACAAAGACCATGCTAATGATAAAGTACAAGAACTAGTAAAATTTTGTAGACATGTAACCTGGGCGAGGCACTGGACCCAGTCCTTAACGAAGACAGAAATGTGTATGACATGATAAATAATGGAAGTGCTAACAAATAAGTCATAATATTCCCATCCTTCAATATCCTTCAAATGTTATAAATAATAACATTTCTTCCATTATTCTCTGATCACATGCAGCGATAGTAATCTCTCCTTCCTCAGTTCTTTCTACCTCAGTCTCACCTCTATTTTATGTCTTAAAATAACTCCCCCTTTCCTATTTTAAAAAGATAATTATAATTTAAAAATATAAAAACAGCTCTCATTGTATCTGAAATATGCATTTCTCTCTATGTTATAGTAAGAAAAACTATTCCATAAAACTCTTTAACCTTTGATAACACACCCAAGTTTTCTGAAACAAATACTAAAGAAGAAATCACCATGCAGTACAAAACTAATCAAAAATTCTATTTTGCAAGAGTTGAAATCTAAACATATGCACACACCTACTACAAAAACACAAACACAACGCAGATCATCTTCATATTCCAGTATTGGCTGAACAACAATATTCCCTCTACCATATGTATTCAGGCTAAACCACAAAACACCCAGGAATATCCACAAATATACAAGACATTAAAATTATAATTTTATATGGCTACTACCAATTTTTTCCACTGCAGAATTTAAAAGAAGACATTAAGAAATGTTCTTGCAAGAAAGGCACCTTACAAGATAAGCTATTTCTCAAATAAATAACAAAGTGATATGTGTAAATATGACATCAAAACCTGTCACAAATAAGGATCAGTTGATTTGTTAAACCTTGTTTAATTTTAATTGAATTGTGTTTAAATTTTCAACCCAGAGAACAAAATCCTGGGTTGTGCTAAAGTACAAGACCTAGTAAAAAAAAAAAATACATTATTTCAGTGTGCTACCATTTCTTACCTTTGAATCTTCATTGCTCACTCCTAGCTGTAATACAGCTTGAGGAGATTTTAGTTTTGCTTGAGCAGAGTGAGCCATCTGAAGGTTAAGCTGCCATCCAACCGTCTCTAGCTATAAAAGAGAAGTGCAGATTAGAATCAGATGATACAGAAGGAAGAAAACACAGAACTTTAAGCAAATCTCCACTTAGCAGGAATGAATATGGATAGCCTGGACTATATGGAAAGTCAGCTCCAGAGCTCCTTTAACCTGCATACTCTGCAAATTCTTCCTTCAGGCTCATTATATTGGCCTCATGCCATGCCTGTCAAATTCAACAGTAAAACTGGTCTTTAAATACAATCTGCTCTAAAAATAAAAATTCCAAGATTAAGCAATAAAGCACACTAAGAGAGTCAATGGTTTTTAAATAGTGCATTACTATTTTAAAATAGTATATTTCAAAGCCAATGATTTTTAAGTAGTTATGAATTTTAACTAGTAAATAGTATATATTGGTCATAATCCCTTCAATGACCTTCCTTTATCTTTCAAAACTCCTTGTATTAGGTAGAACACAGGGAAGACGTTTTTTCTTAATTTAGAGAGAAATTGAAGTACCCAGATGGTAAGAGGTTCACACATTTAGACACAGTTAGTGAGACTGGAATAGAGCCAGGCAAAGAATTGCTATCTACTAGTGAGCAGGTGTTACCCAATAGACTATCATGCTTTCTAAAGTACTCTAACTTACTATGGTTCCCAGTCATGACACAAACTAATTAGAATATTTCCTTTTAATTTATTAATTAGCACAATAGCAAAAGTTAATCGAGTAAGGCAAACATAGTAAAGACAGGTTAAAGCGGCATAAATGTGGCTTTATTGAACTTGACAGATTATTGGTTTCTCCAACCTCAGAACTATGAGTACAAAATTTTAGATTTAATTTCCAGTAAAGCTCAAGTATCATTATTTAGGGAAGTATTATGAAATGCCAATTGTCACATGCCTCTGACAATGACTCCGATTTAGTCAACTACCTTAGCTGCACTGGTAAGAATGGCAGCCTCAGAAGAATTTTTACTTAATCAGAATACTAATTGCTAACTTGGAAGCCTGTTCAACAGTTAGAATCACAGCAGTGACTCAAAGCCAAATTGGAAAGAGAGCAATGGAAGTATTATCTATTCGAGAGAGGATGTGATGTGAAAATAAAGATACAATTCTGTTCTCTCTGGCACTGAACCTTTTAGAAGTTATGGGGAAGATGTTGCAGAAACATAATCCATAATACCACAAGTAAAATATCAATTTAATAGTGCATGTTAAGTAAGGATCCTTAATGCATTGATCTTTAACACTGATCACAGTAAGTCTTTAATACCAGCCCACCACTGTTTTCAATAGTTATACAATAGAGCCTACAATAAAACAGGGGGAAAAACATGACATAACCACTCTCGTATATACAAGCATATATACATGGCATCTTCTAGGATTTCATATGAACCTATAGGATACTTCTTTGATCTAATTTAACTGATTCTATCCTTGTCTTGTAAGCACTTAAGATAAATGATGAAGATAAATATTGCTTTAAGTGAACAGCATACCCCACTGTGGTCAGATCTTTGCATAAATTAATATATGCTTAGTCACTGCATACAGGTATGTGGGAGAATTAAAAAGAACTTAAAGCTTATGCTTTGGTTCATGCTTAAGCTGCACTCACGAGTTACTTAACCCAGGTTAAATCACAATCTTCTAAACTCTCAATTTACTCATATGAAATAGAAATAAGTCTATCTGAACTATCTACTTTTCTAAGTTATTGGTAATCTATACTAATAAAAGGGTAATATGCAAATTACCCGTCACTCCACAACAAATATGGCAGCTCCCATAGCCACAAAGATGGTGGAGCCGGCCAGAGCGGGCAGGATGCTTGGCTTCCTTCGGGCAGGACACTTGGCTTCCTTCGTCGCCCCAGCAATGAAGAAAGCCAAGCCTCCTGCAAGCCCCGGCCGGCCACCAAGGGCCAGCCTCTGGGCGGCAGCCACGGAACCAGCCCAAAGTGGGCGGGAGGCAGCTCTGGCCCAGAGTAAAGGCAGAAGGCGGCTCCAGCCAGGAGTGAAGGCGGAAGGTGGCGGCCAGAGTGAAGGCCCGGGTCCCGGGTGCCAGAGGGAAGCTGGTGCCGGCAGCCAGGGGAAGGAAGGCTTATTCTTGCACAAATCTTCATGCATCGGGCCTCTAGTATCAAATAAAAAATTAAATTCCCATATTCAATGTGTTTTGGAAACTGCAAAGCATTGTAAATATAAGACATTTTGATCACCTATTTTTTTCTATGGTAACTTTCAAATAGAGTAGGCACTTTATACATAAACTAGAGGCCCAGTGCATGAAATCATGCACAGGTTGGGTCCCTCAGCCTGGCTGGCGATGGGGGCCAATCAGGGCTGTCTCACCCAGTCTGGGGGGAAGGACTGCAGGAGGTTGGCAAGCCAGGGGGGTGGGACCACAGAAGGTTGGCTGGCTGGCCGGGGGGAGGAACTGTGGGAGGTTGGCCGGCCACAGAAGGTTAGCTGTGGAAGCTCACTGACCACCAGGGGACAGCTCCTGCATTGAGCGTCTGCCCCCTGGTGGTCAGTGCATGTCAAAGCTACCAGCCGGTTGATCCATCATTTGGTCGACCAATCTTAACGGTCACTTAGGCTTTTATACATATGTAGATTAAACTGAATTAAAATGAATCAAAGAACACTCACAAGAAAAGGTAATTTTTTTTAAAGTCATTTCTGAAAAGAGTTTTGTGGATTGGCTTTCTTTAATTTCATAGCCCTTCTATTGAGTTTTGTGATTTAAAAAATATTTGTCCCACGATCACATGAAAGATTAATTTAAAAAGAAAAATAACACTGGTAAGCTCATATGTAGGTATAGGCATATATACAGATGCACAAAAAATTTACAGAAAATGATTCAGAAACCTTAAATGAAGAAATATAGAAAGAATAACTAGAGTTATAAAAGAACACTTTACAGTTACACAGAACAGTAAGAGAAACAAAAGAGACTTTTAAGTGAAAGTAGGAGACAAAACCAATACTACTTGAGAGAGCTATTCTTATTATCACCATTTAACAGATTAGTAATGTAAAATGTCAAAACTTAGTGAATTGGCTCAGCCAGCGTGGCTCAGTTTGAGCATCAACCTATGAACCAGGAGGTCACAGTTCGATTCCCAATCAGGGCACATGCCAGGGTTGCAGGCTCGATCCCCAGTGTCAGGTATGCAGGAGGCAGCTGATCAATGATTTTCTCTCATATTCATATTTCTATCTCTCTCTCTCCCTCTCCCTTCCCCCAATGAAATCAATAAAAATATATATTTTTAAAAAATTTAGTGAATTGGAATAAAGAATACAGGGTATCCCCAAAAAATGTATACACACTTTAAATAATTCTTAGCTCCAATGGGTTAAATCTGAAAAGAACGAAAATAACTGGAATTAATAACTATTCAAAGTGTGCCTACATATTTTGGGGACACTCTATATATGGAAGTTCTTTATATTATTATTGCAACTTTTCTCTAATTTTGAAATTATACCAAAATCAAAAACGTTACAAGAAACTGATTCAAGTAAGAATCAGCAAAGGATACTAAATCTAAGTAGTGAAAGTTTGACGTGGAATGCAGAGTCACAAGGCATCTACCCACAATGGCTTTTTAGTTACAAAAAAAAAAAAAAAAGTAATGATGCAATAGAGAAACAGCATCTTTACCAAGAGATCAAAATTAAGATCACCAAAAACTGACAAAGGCATTCTTTCACAATGCAAAATTTAGAGGTTGTGGAAACAAGGAGAAAGTAGCAAATGTGACTAAAAGCAGCAGTCAGAAAGGAGAAAAATCATAAGAGTATGGACCGAACTTTTATACTGTCTTAGGTGCTGGGGACATTAAAATCAATAAACTTACCATCTCTGACCCAAAAGCTCCAAGTCTAGTAATGAAGACAAAACATGTACAAAACAATTGTGATATAAGATATCAATAAATGAAGAGATATATACCATGTTCATGAATTTAAAGTCTCAGTATTGTTAAGATGTCAATTCTTTCAAAAGTGATTTACAGATTTAGGGCAATCCAATTAAATTCCCAGCAGGCACTTTTTATAGAAACTGACAAGTTGGTTCTAAAATTTAAATGGAAATGCATATGACCTAAAAAAGCCAAAGCAGTTTTTTTTTAAGTTGGAGAATCTACACTACCTAACTCTAAGATTTATTATAAAGCTACAGCAATAAAGACAATGAATGTGGCACTAGCAACAGGACAGACATTTATACCCATCAACTGACTCCTGGTGAAGATGCCAAGGAAAATGATGCTGGAGCTAGCTACTAGATGCTTACATGGGAACAAAATGAACAGCAACCCTACCTAACACCAAACACAAAAATGAACTCAAAATGGATCATCGACTAAATGTAAGTACTAAAACCTTCAAAGTTCTAGCAGAAAACACAAAAGACAATCTTTGTGATCTTGGGATAGTTATTAGCTAGAATATTAAAATCATAAACCATAAAAAAATTATAAATTGGACTTCATCAAAATTAAAAATTCTGTTCTTCAAAAGTCACACTTAAGAAAAAGGAAAGGTAAGCCACTGACTAATAAAATATTCACAATATATATACCTCACAACGAACTTGTATCCAAGCTATATAAAGAGTTCTTACAACTCAATAATAAGACAAAGAAATACACACAAAACTGGGCAAGGATTTGAACAGATAGCTGACAAAAGAAATATACAAATGGCCAATAAACACAAAAAATAATGTTCAACATCCTTATGTTCAATATCCTCACACACATTAAAATGCTAAAATTTAAAAGAATGGCAATACCAAGTGCTGGCCAGGATGTAAAAAAATTGCTAATTAGAATGTAAAATAGTATAAACTGTTTGGCAGTTTCTTATAAAACACCAACGCTACAACCTGTCAACCACCCCTAAGTATTACCCAAGAGAAATTAAAACATACGTCTGTGTACATAAATGTTAACAGGTTTATTAAAAATAGCCCCTAACTGGAAATAGCCCAAATAT